TAGTCAGTAAACTTATCATATCTGCTATTCAAATACTGTACTTCCATAATCAAAGTAAATACATAATAAATTGGCGACGAGGACGAAGAAACCCTTTTACAATGAATGCTGAACAATTTAATACTTTGATGGCTGCACTTACAAAGACTCTACAAGTTAATCAAAATACTACTCCAATTACTCAAGAATCCATTTCAATAGATCCATTCTCAGAAGAAAATGAAAGTTGGGAGATGTTCCAGGTCTTGGAAAAATTTCAAATTATAAAGCTAAATTATTTTTACCAAACAATACAAAACCAATTTATGTTCCTGCTCGAAAAGTTCCCTATGCATTGAAGGAAAAAGTGGAAAGAGAAATCGATAGACTAGAAGAAATAGGAGTGTTAACTAAAATGGAATACAGTGAATGGGGCACACCGGTTGTACCAATTATGAAAAGTGACGGTTCTGTAAGACTTTGCGCGGATTTCAAAATTACATTGAACAAAGTTTTAATAAATGATAAATTTCCGATTCCAAACATAGAAGATATTTTTGCGACTACAATGCACGGAGGGAAAATTTTTACTACTTTGGATATTCGCGAAGCTTATTTACATATGCCAATGGATGAAGAAAGTTCAAGAATGCAAGCAATTACTACGGAAAAGGGAGATTATAAGGTACATAGATTGATGTTTGGAACCAAAGTTGCTCCTGCTATTTGGCAACGTTACATTTCAAACCTATTGGATAAAATACCCGGAGTTTGTGTGTTTTTAGATGATATCAAAATACAAGGAGCTACATTACAAGAGAATGTGAATAGAGTAAGAACTGTTTTACAATGTCTACAAGAAGCTGGTCTTCATATTAAACAAGAAAAATGTAAATTCTTCGAAGAATCCATAACATATTTGGGTCATAAAATTTCAAGCAGGGGTTTAGAGAAAACTGAAGACAAAATAAAAGCTGTCAAGAATGCACCAGTACCGACAAATGTCACTGAGTTAAAAAGTTGGTTAGGATTGGTCACTTACTATGGAAGATTTCTGAAAGATCTTTCTTCAAAAATACATCCTTTGTACAAACTTTTACAAAAGAATGTTATTTTCCGATGGACATCTATCTGTGATCAGGCTTTTAATTTAATTAAAAAGGAAATAACATCTGATCAGATTCTTTGCGCATATAATCCGAAACTACCTTTAATTTTGGCAACCGATGCTAGTCCTAAAGGTTTGGGTGCAGTATTATCTCATATTTTTCCTGATGGTGAACGTCCTATTGTTTTTGCTTCAAGGAGTCTAACGAGAGCTGAAAAAAACTACAGTCAAATTGATAAGGAAGCAACTGCTATTTTTTGGGCATGTAATAAATTTTTTCAGTATTGTTATGGAAGAAAATTCACGCTGATTACTGATCATCAACCTCTAGTTTCTATATTTAATCCAAACAAAAATCTTCCCAGTATGGTAGCTACTCGAATGCTTCATTACGCTCAATTTTTGCAAGGCTTTAATTATGACATTATTTATCGTTCTAGCGAAAAACACTTAAATGCTGATGCACTCTCGAGATTGCCTCAAAAAATCACTCCAGTTTTCAATCAAACAATGGATGGCGTTACAATTCATCAGTTACAACAAATTCTAACGTTACCAGTTACGCATAGAGAAATTGCTAATGAAACACAAGAAGACCCAATATTAAGAAATGTTTACAAAAGTTTACAAACTGGAAAGAAAATTGAAGAAAATGAATTTAAAGGGAAAGATATAGAATTTTCTTTAAACGAAGGTACTATAGTAAAAGATTCACGTATTGTTGTGCCCAAAACGCTTCGTCAAAGAGTATTAAAAGAATTACATGAAGCACATACCGGTATAGTGAGAATGAAATCACTTGCACGTTCTTTCGTTTGGTGGCCAAGAATAGATCTTGATATTGAAGAATTGGCTAAGAAATGTCAAAGTTGTCAATCTATGTTACACAACAAAACTAATATTCCACCGCATTGTTGGGAAACTCCGAAAGGACCGTGGCAGCGCGTACATATTGATTTTGCGGGACCGTTTCAAGGAACATACTTTTTAGTAATTTGCGATGCATATTCTAAATGGCCTGAAATTTTTATTACCAAGTCCATGAATACTTTGAAGACGATTTCAATTTTACGAGGTGTTTTTGCACGTTTTGGCTTACCTGTAACTTTGGTTAGTGATGATGGAGGATCTTTTACATCACAGGAATTTAAGAATTTCCTAAAAACCAATGGAATTATACATAAATTTACTGCACCATATCATCCCGCATCAAATGGCCAAGTTGAAAGATATGTGGGAACCATGAAGAATACTCTAAAGAAGATGGTAGATGACCCAGGAGATCTTGATTTGAAACTTCAAAATTTTTTAATGCAATACAGAAAAATACCCCACACTTCAAATAATCAGTCACCTTCTCAATTAATGTATGGGAGAGACATACGAACTAAATTAGATTTAGTTAGATTTCAAAAACCCATTGAGGTGGCAAATCAAGCATCTTCTAAATTTATGGTGGGCGAAAGCGTTCGAGTGAGACATTTTGATAGTAGGAAAAATTGTCTATGGAAATTTGGTAGAATTTTGAAGAGAGAGAGCAATCTTATTTATTTGATTGAAATGGAAGACAGAATAATCAGAAGACATATAAACCATATTGCTTCAACTAAAGTTGAGTGTCCAGTATCACAGCCTAACGTTTGTTATGTTCCAGAGGCAAAGCAAACTCTGGACACCGAAAATACTACAAGAGATAATGTTGTAGGTGCTTCATCTACTCAACATTTTTCTTATATTGATCCTGAGCAAAGTAAAAGCACAATTATAATTTCCGATTCGACTCCAGAAGTTTCCACTTCGGCGGAGATGATATTAGATGATCAAGAACCGAGAGACCAAGAGACTTTTCCGGTGGAAAGTACTGATCAAAACATTGAAACTTCTTACCAATCAAAAACCAAACCCAATCAGATACCAGAAAATGCTGAGACATTGCGAAGAAGTATTAGAACGAGAAAACAACCAGAAAAACTGAATCTTTAAATTTGCCAGGGAGGATTTGTAGTGTCCACTATGCACTAAATTATATTGTTCACCTTTACCAGTTAATTGTTGTATGTCATTATGTCAGAGTATGTGAAAATAAAGTTCATATTAAATAGTCAGTAAACTTATCATATCTGCTATTCAAATACTGTACTTCCATAATCAAAGTAAATACATAATACAGTTATTGATTTTTAAGTTGCTCAGAGGTTATCTGAATTGCCCTGAGTTGCTCTCGGCTGTAAACTTGAATGTCCCAGTGAGGAATTTTAGAGCTGTGCGCTGTTTTTCGTTGGAGAGACATCGTACCTCTTATGGCCAACACACAACCATTAATCGGGCTATGTCTTATGCCAATGAGATACAGGTGGACATATTTGCTGCGTCTTTGCACCAAATGAAGCTATCACTGTGATATTGTTTTGTAATCTAGCGATTTACTCTGTGATCTGTTTTTGGCTATTTTTTGTTGTCCTTTCAATTTTTTAATTTAGAAATAATTTACTGTACTCTTTTTAAATTTTTTATTTATATGTAGTTTGTTATTAGTATTAATATTGGCCGTGGCTAAAGTAACAGAGGTGTTACTATAATTATTAATTTAAAGTAACATCAGTTCAATGACGTCACTGATGACAACGTTACTTTTATTAGGGGCTATAGTAATAGAGGTGTTACTCTAATTATTTTCTTGAAGTAACATCAATATAGCAATATGTAGATAGGTACTTTCTTTAGCAATTTAAAGTAAAGGTGATATTCTTGGTATTTGTTTTAGAGTAAAAATGGAAATATATAAAAAATAACCTGACTTTGAAGGATAGAATAGAATAGGTACCTATGGAACAGGCAGTATGGGCAAGGCAGGAAAGACACATTTCCCTATGACCCTGTCAGAAAGTGACAATTTTTTACCTTCTTTTCAGGAAGGAAAATAGTTATTTCCCCACCCTAGGGAGGAAAGTAAATTATTTTCCTTCCCAGGCAGAAGTTTTTTCGCTGTAGATAATAGTTTTATGATAGGTATCGTATATCTCCTCATGTGTAATGCAGGTATTAGGTATAGATTATCAATTACTATTATCTTGTATGAAAAATCATATACTTAAGTAGGTATATTCCCTTGGAGTAGTAAAGTTCCGTTTCTCTCTTTGGTAATTAAGTAATCGAATTTCACCTGCGGGAGAGAACTATACCTATACCTACACACACTCCCCTCCGTTTGGTTTACAAATAACTATTAAATAAGGGCATGTGAGGAATGGAAATATAGAGCCGCCGACTAATCACCTTCGCGATACCAAAGTTTAGCATCATAATATTGTTGTTTATATTTAGCCATTGCTCACTATTAACTTATAACCTCGCTTCTGTAAGGGTTCTGCTTTTAGTGTCAGTGACGTCGTAATTGATGTTACTTTAAGAAAATATTTATAGTAACACCTCTGTTACTTTAGCCACGGCCATTAATATTATTATTATGGCAATATTTGTAAAATTGGGCCGCTGCCCGTTGGAAGTGAAAATAAATAATAAATAAATAAATAGATAAAAGTTCAAATTTTCACTATAACCAGCTCTTGATTGGCTCAGAAAGTATTCTAGAGAATCAAGAGCCGGTAACAGTTCAAATTTTGATTATTTGTGGGTCCTTTATCTATTGGATAATTTTTCTGAAGCAACTAAATATCGAATATCCATATTGGATGGTGTGCTATTTGTCTGATAGTCGTACGGAGTATGGAGTATTTAGTGCACGGTGCACGGAGTGAAAAATCGAACGCAGCTTATGACTCTCTACACTCCAACTCCGACGTATGACCGAACTAGTTGTTCCTGTTGCTATTTGTTGCTATAAACGTCAATAATGGATTTTTAGGTTTTAGGGTATTTTGAATTATGTCGTTTTCCCCTAGATTTAAGATCTAGTGACTTTTCCCCTCTTTCGGTTTGGCATGTTTGATGTTTGTTTATAGAAAAAGGGGCCCCGAACAACAGTTATTTCCGAATTTTGACCTCTTTTTCCTCACAAAATAAAAACATGGCAGATGTATTAGATATCAACGATGTAGGAGACATCGACGTCGAAGAAGAAGGAGACCAAAGTGTGTCACGTTTGAAGGATAAAGTGGTAAAAAGAAAAGGTAGAGGTTTTGGCGGTGGAGAGTCTCGACAGCATGAAAAAGTTAGGGCTTATGAGAGCGTGGATCATGGAGATGGTGACGACCCAGGTAAATACGACTCGAAAAGAGAACTTTCTTCACACTGGAATCGATTGCTTATTATTTGTTTTAGGTCCACAAAAATCAGTGGAAGGCTGGATCTTGTTTGTAACGTCCGTTCATGAAGAAGCCACTGAAGACGATTTGAATGAAAAATTTTCAGAATTTGGCCAAATTAAAAACATCAGCATAAATTTGGACAGAAGAACTGGATTTTTGAAAGGTACCAGTTTCATTTATGGCCCTTTGCACCAAAGATTTTAAGGGAGGTTTAAGCGATGATTGTTGTTTATCGGTAAACCCTCCTTAAACTGATTAGTGCAAACGCTTATTAATCCGATTTTAGACTATAAATTTAATTATAGGTTATGCGCTTATCGAATTTGGAAGCTACGAAGAAGCTGCGGCAGCCAGAGAGGCCCTGAATGGGTCAACCCTGCTAGGACAGCCTGTAGGAGTTGATTGGTGTTTTGTTAAAGGGGCAAAGAAATCTAAGAGGAAGAGCCGAAGACATTAGTTTTTAAAGAAAGATAATTTTGTTCCAATTTAAGTTACATAGGTAATAGAACATCTTGTATTTATATTTTTTGAAGAATAAATAATTTCCATTCTATAGGGCGTTATTTTTTATTAAAAATTGAACAAAAATTCAAAATCTCATTGTTTAAAATATTGGCAGTGGATAGAGGTCCGAAAATTCGGATCTCTAGTGTTCATACTAAAGATCCGATAATTCTCGGATTTTCAATTTGTATATTAGGGGTCCGAAAATGCGGATCTTTAGTGGTATTATTATTATTGAAGATCCGAAAATAGATGCTTATTTCTAATTCTGTCGTAATTGAGGAATATTAAAACATTTCAATAAAATTGATAAAATGCTTGTATTTTTAAGGATTTATACTGGAAAAAATGGATCCTCTAATCCTTTTAATGTAGAATATTTAATCAAGTTTACTCGAAAATATTTGGTTGGTGCAATTTCAAACAGAAAAGTACAAAAAACAAAACTAAGTACCTTTTTTATTTTTTTAAAACTTTACATAATTAAAAATAAATATTTCTTTATTTTAAGGGTTGATAGGGTAAGAGGTGTGATTTAGTTCCTTCTGCACTGCATGCAAAACCAGGCTTTCTTACTAGAAGGCAGCTTTGTTACTGAACAACACACTTTATGTTTACACTGAAGACATGAATCACACCGTAAGCAATCTTCATGTATCACTTTGTTACATATATCACAAATCCATTTTAGAATACTATTTTGTTTTTCTCCAATTCGTTTTTGTAATAAAACATAAGAATCCAGACAAAAATATGTTTCTATTTCTGCTAAAGATATTTCTTTTTCAAGAAGAAGTGGATCAATTTGTTGATGATGAGAAATGTTTTATTTCTCATTTTTAAAGTTTTTATGTAATGCTTTATTGCTTACCAAATCATCTGTATTTAAAACTGCATTAAGCATTATCTGGTGCCTCAGTTTAGGAACTTTATTTTTGAATAAAACACTACCTACTTTTATTTTTCTTAGACCTTTTTAGTCCAATTGCAGTTAATTGATGTCCTTTGGGACTTCCTTTATGGGTTTCAAAGGAAATTTATTAGGTACTTTTTATTTTTTCTTCTAATTGGTTTTGTGCAGTAGTATTTGATTCTTGGGCTAGTTTCATTAAAATGGTGTCGCAAATATCTACAAAAAATAATATTCAAGATAAGTCTGTTTCTGCAGAAATCACAAATTAGTCAGAGCAAATTTCATTGGTTGAAAACAGTCAGAAACAATCAGAAAACTAGTATCAACCAATGAAATTCACTCTGACTGGTTTGTGATTTCTGCAGAAAAAGACTTATCTCGAATATTATTCTTTGTAGATACTTGCGACGATACTCCTTAATTAGACAGAATTAGAAATAAATATCTATTTTCGGATCTTCAATATTTACCACTAAAGATCCGCATTTTCGGACCCCTAATATACAAATTGAAAATCCGAAAATTATCGGATCTTTAGTATGAACACTAGAGATCCGAATTTTCGGACCTCTATCCAGTGCCTTCAAATAAAGCTATTCGCACATAACAAGTTGCGTATACGAACAAATTGATGCAACTTTACGTGCACGCAAATATTTGCGATTGATTTCAAATAAAGCCCCCCTTGGTCGATTATTTTTCTCAGGAATGTCTTCACTATAAATATTTTCTGATTTCTAGTGGTCACGAAGGCACCTTTAATTTGGGATAGTGTTGCAGGTATTTCTTGTTCTTGTCTTGCTTTCTCTTGTTCTTGTCTTGTTCTGCAAGAGCAAGACAAGAAGTGGATTTAGCAAGAAATATACAAGACAAGAAACTTCTAAGCAAGAACAAGATTTCTTGTGCAAAAAATTTTCAAGAAGCCTAATTTATTTTACATAATATTATGTAATAAGTTAATAAATATTAGCTGAAAAGTAAACATCAATTACTCATACTCGCATGACATTATTTATTGTAAAAAAATAACAAAAAAAAACTTTTTTATAATTTGGTACATAAATAGGACGTTTCATTGAAGGAGCAGTTACAAAAATTTTTAAAAAATCTTATAATAAAAAACTACAAACAAAAAACATGCTATCTCAACAAAATTTTTGAAAAATGGTGTGTGCTTAAGACCACACTTCAGAAGTGGAAACTTCAATTGGGCGTAATTAACAATATGAAATACCTACAGATACATTTTTAATGCTCTATATTCAATGCCCAGATTGATCTACCTGTATCAAAGATTAGATTATGCTGGTATGAAATACAACAATTTCTGTCACATTTACATATGAGCATATGTAATATGTTATATTAAATTACGATCAAAGAAAGAAAAAATGATTATTGTCAAACATTTCTTTAAATAAAATGTGATGACTGTTTCTCTCTCTCGCTTGGCTGAAGTTGATTCGAGCCGACTGTACCCGAATGAGCGTTACATAGCCGAGCGTGACGACTCAGTTCCCTTTAGTCTACCCACAAAAAAGTGTGCTGAACGCGACTAAATAAGTTTTCACTTCAAAAATATTTCTTCCAAAAATCAAACATGTCTGATGTAATCTTCTAACGTAATAAAAATAACGTTCGAGTTTTCTCAAAGAAGTTTCATTTAGACTTTAAAACTTAACTTGCACTTTGAAAAGGGACTAGAACCAATCTAAAATCTATGTAGGAACTTTTTATAAAGCAAGAACAAGAAATAGGCTTGCAAGAAATTTGCAAGAACAAAGAAATTGAAAATTTCTTGTCTTGCTTAGCAAGACAAGACAAGAAATAGCCGTGCAAGACAAGATTTCTTGCTACCTGCAACACTAATTTGGGAGAACTTCTAGAAAGTTTAAAGTCTGATAAACTAATCTCGACATTTCCCAATATCGAGGTAGGTACCATTGAGAATGTATCTTTACCTTCCATCGCGTCTGGGGAGAGGTCCTTTTCCAACCTAAGGAGGAATAAAGACTATCTAAGCTAAGAAACACACTTTCAGATGAAAAGACAAGTGACTGATTAGTGCCAAAATCAGCTTGTCTCATGCCATTTTTCATTCAATATACTGTCGCGGCTTTGGGTTGCCTGCTGACAAAAATCTTGAGTTCGTTGTTCGTTTCGTTTATTCCAAAAATCAAAGTCCAATTAACACAGCAATAATTTATTCCACTTAACAAAACACTCTGACACTAATAATTACTTTATTAACAAACTCAACAATTAAACTCTTTACAATCACTATTTAAATCGTATCACACTCGAACTGAAACTAACTTACAAACCAATGCCGGCCTTCTTATATATCCCTAAATCTATTCCTGTGAAATCTAGAATACACACGATAATCTAATTTTCCAGATTAAAGTAGAATAATTCGCTAGATTCTAGTATTTCCGCGACCGATTCTTGACAGCCTGGCGGACGTTTAGCTTATTGTGACACTGCCCTCCTCTTAAGGTTGATCGTCCCGATCAACTTCACGCCCATGATATTTCGCCAACCTGTCCAGATGTACAACTTTCATCTTAGTCCTGGTGTTGCGCTGGACTCGATAAACCAAATCATTGATCCTCTTGATTACTCTATAGGGTCCTTCCCATGCTGAAGACAATTTCGGTGATACTCCTTTCTTCCTTACTGGGTTATACAACCACACTAAATCACCTTCTTGAAATCCGACCGAATTGGCCTTCAAGTCGTATCTGGTCTTCATTCGGTCACTGGCTAGTTGAATATGCTCCCGAGCAAAATCATGGATACCCAGAATTCGTGCCCTTACTTCGTCGGCATAATCTCTCTTCGTTCTTCTTCGGGTACTCCAAACATCAGATCGCAAGGTAGCCTGAGTTCCCTTCCAAAAACAATTCTAGCCGGACTTTCACCTGTTGAATCGTGAACAGCCGCTCTGTAAGCCATTAAAAAGAGAGGCAAATGCTTGTCCCAATCTCGTTGGTTCTTTGCGACCACTTTTGTCAGGTGTTCCTCTATGGTCTTATTGAATCGTTCTACCATGCCATCAGACTGAGGGTGTAAAGGTGTTGTCCTTGTCTTACGAATGCCCATGATCTCACAAACTTTCTTAAAGATGGCAGATTCGAAGTTTCGTCCTTGGTCTGAATGTAACTCTAGTGGCACACCATGACGACTAAAAACTTCGTCCACTAGCACCTGGGCAACAGTGATGGCTTCTTGATTGGGAATAGCGAAAACTTCTGGCCATTTACTGAAGTAATCCATGATAACTAAGATGTATTTGTTACCACGCTCTGACTCTGGAAACGGTCCTGCTATATCTATCGCTATTCTCTCAAATGGAAGACCAACGTTATACTGTTTCATGGGCCCCCGAGATCTTAGTTTAGGGCCTTTACTGGTAGCACAGATGTCGCAATTTCGGCACCAGCTTTTAACGTCTTCATGGTAGTGAACCCAGTAAAAACGTTCCCGAATTTTGTCCAAAGTCTTGTTAACTCCGAAATGTGCCCCTGAGGTTCCGTCGTGTATTTCTTTTAATACATCTTCCACTCGGTCTTTTGGGATAACCAGTTGGCTCTTAGTGGATTTCCCATCGGCACTTTCCCAAACTCTTTTGAGCAAACCATTTTCTACAGCCAGAGAGTTCCATTGGGCCCACAACGCTTTGTAAATCAAGATCTTGTTTGACACTTCCCTCCATTCTGGCCTACATTCATCGTTTTCTTTAAGATGTAGAATTTGCCCGATGTCCTGGTCTGCCTCCTGATCTTCTCTCATTTGCTTGGTAGTCCATTTATCATCGACGATCAGGCCCGTTCTTCTTACAGCTGGAGTAGTGTTTTTCTCATGTATATCGATTCTTTGACAATGTTTGCAATCTTCTTTACATGGCCGTCTAGACAGAGCGTCAGCATTTTTATGTAGGTTTCCAGGTCGATGTTTAATTTGAAAATCGTATTGCTGCAATTTCTCAATCCATCTAGCAAGCTGTCCTTCAGGAGTTTTCATTTCTAAAAGCCATTTTAGAGCTGCGTGATCTGTTCTAATTAGAAACTTGCGTCCGTAGAGATACTTATGAAAATGGTCGACTGCTTTTACTATGGCAAGCAACTCTCTTCTG